CAGCATAACTTTTTTTCCTTTTTTTTTTTTTTTTTTTTTTTGGGTGGGACCTTCCCTGGTCCTTGCACGGCGGGGCTGCCTGGGCGAACAAGGTGACCCGGGCGGTGCGGCTGGTAGCCTAGGGCACATATGATTTAACAATGTGTATATGATGTACACAAAGCTGGGCTAGCAGCTGGGCGGCCCGGGTGGCGCAGCTGAAAAAGGTTCAGGCAAGAACTTGGGCAAAGTCCGCGAAGAGCCGTAGCCCAAAAGAACAAAGAAAAAGAAATTTCAGAATAATCTGTAAGAAAACTGTGTAATGAGCCCAGTCTGGTAGGTACTCAGAAGTCGTCAAACATCAGTAGTCTCATTGTCTGCAACAAAGTCTCCAGATTGTGAAGTGATATCTCAAACAGTATCTCATTACCATTAAAGAAGAGAGAGTGGAGGGGGAACAGACAGAGGAGAAGATGAAAGATCACACAATAGTAATCCATTCAGACCCCTCTCCTTCTCCGGGCTTCTTCCCTCTCCACGTCAACAATGATAATAAGTATAATCCTGATCACACACAATAGTGCCACGTGGCACTCTATCTCTTGAAGACCATGAAGACATAGCAGATTCCAGTGACGACGTCAACCTCAGGTGAGTACCCGATCTCCTTCATCCACGGATCCCAATCTTCCTCCTCCTCGCAACCAGTCGCCTCATGTAGACAGCGTGGACAATGCCACGTCAGCAGTTGAGACAGGTGGCATATGCCACATCATCAATGAAGACCAGTGGCAGCGCCACATCAACATGCGATGTAGACCAAAGGCAGCGCCACACCAGAACAGAGGCAGTGCCACACCAGAACAGAGGCAGTGCCACATCAGCATGCAGTGTAGACCAGAGGCAGCGCCACATCAGCATGCAATGTAGACCAGAGGCAGCGCCACATCAGCATNAATGTAGACCAGAGGCAGCGCCACATCAGCATGCAATGTAGACCAGAGGCAGCGCCACATCAGCATGCCTGGCGCACAATGCAGAATGCGCCAGCATGTTGCCACCGTCCCTGTCGTCGTCCGCAATGCTAGCACACAGCCAGCGTCGAGCCAGCACTTAGCCAACGTAGTCGAAGTCAAGCCAGCGCTCAAGCGGCATAGCAAGACTGAATGTTGACCACCTCGAGGCCAGTCTTTAAGTAGTGTTTGACAAGACGCTCTGGCCTCGGGTCTCCTCCCCTCAGTCGTCCACATTGCTTCACAGTCGAAGGCCTGGATTGTACAGTTGCAGATTTTCCCCTTGGACCTGATGCTGTCTGGGTACCTGCATACAAACAAATATGTGTCTCCGACCGGCGGCCTGGGCTGGGTACACTTGACTTTGACTGTTGGGGTTTCCGGCTGTTGACTTCTGTCAACTGTTCCTCGTCCAGGCCCTGCATCTTTGCTGGGGTCTTTTCCCCGTTTTGGCCTGGGCCTGAGTGTGACCTGGCGAGGCCTTCAGATTCCATGAGGCTTACTACATGGGTTATTGCAACTGTGTTAGACAGAATTACAAATCAGACGACTAAGGCAGACTATCAAATCATACGACTTTTGGGGGCAAGTGTGGTAGCTCAGTTGGTTAGAGCTCTGGCGTCGCAACGGAGAGCTCATGAATTCGATTCCGGGCGACCGTCATCCTCTCCTGTGCAGCTGGTGTCAATATGACATCCCACATATTTCCCGGCAGCCACCAGATGGGATTCCCCCTGCCTAGCCCAGTACGGTCTAATACCAAAATGCAAGGAACCATGAATGAGAACACAAATTTTCCAACAGCGAAAGACTCAGACCAGAACCAGCATACACGAGCAAAGTTGAAAGTAGAATTACAAAGCCAGGAGCACTCGAAATGAGCACACACTACCAACGGGCCTAGCTGAGTTGGTATACCCTATGAGCTGTTGTAATACAGACCCGAGTTTGAATCCAGAAGCCACCAGATGACCAGAATAAAATGATTCTGAATTACTGGGGCCGCTCAGCTCAATGATGATATCTCAATGCGGTCGCCCTTGAAAAAAGGCCGAAAAAACAAATGAGCACACATTGACACCGAAGTCTTTCGATAAAGAAAGCACGGATTGTCGCCACCTCCCATCGTTACAACGATGCATTATGATATGGACTCCTCAGTCACTATGCAGAGCCTCTCTCTCTCTTTCTCTCTCTCTCTCTCTCTCTCTCTCTCTCTCTCTCTCTCTCTCTCTCTCTCTCTCTCTCTCTCTCTCTCTCTC